GTACTTCTCTAAACATGATTATTATAGCTGAAATCAATTGTAAATTGTACTTTGAGAGTACTTACCAAAGTAAGGATATGAGTTACCTGAATTACCCAGGAGCTCAAATAAGCACTTTTAAGTACCTACGTACAGGAAATCATTTCAGTTTGTATGCTTTTTTTTCAGCTTTAATTGAGTTTGTTGGTACATTTTAGGTATACAGTACAGTTACATTCATTGTTGGGATCTTCTACCTCTACATGACAAGTCTTGATTCTCATTTTTTCCCCTTACCTCTGCCCTCCCTTCCCCCCCTCCTCCCCTCCCTATCTACAAACGCTTTATTTCCATCTTTTCATTATCTCACATTTTTTTCTTTTCCCTTATTACCCTTCCCCTACCCATCCCTCCTTCCCTACAGCCTTACCTCCTTTCTTCCCATTTCTAAATGTCATTAATCTTATTAGGATCTTATGTATTATTGCAGATTATTCACACCAGAGAAACTATTCTGTATTTACACATGTGTATGTTAATAAAGGGTAAGACATGGCTTTGGGACTCTTTCTACAAGACCAGAGAGCTGCTCAACAGCCTGTAGGGTATTCAATTCATAAATTAGTTATTATATATTCAAAATAATTTATTTAAAAAGAAAATCCCTAAAACATATAGTTAGAACACTTTAATTCTCTTTCAAGAGGCAAAAAAGCAGCCATTCTTGTTCTTTGATTATTGATTTGATTTGATGCTTGGCAATGCAATTAGAGTCAATCATAGCTTTTGTCTCTAGAGATGTGTTTTGCTAAGGATTGCAGATCTTTAAAAAGCTCCTGATCTTAATGTCTTTTTACACCTGAGATGGTTAAGATTTTGTTCTTGTGCCATACTTAAAGGCACTCTTCTTGTCCCTTCTCCACTGCCCTGCCCCTGAAAGCTAACACCGTTCTTAACAGTACTTAATTCAAGGTACTTATCTCCTCTGTGGCTGCTAGATTTCAAGACATAGCTGCCAGAAAAGTGAGTCCCTTTACTGGAACTCTTGCAGAGTAAAACTGACCTTCACTTGTTTCTGGGCCATGTAGAAAACTGATCTAGTCTTGATCCTGAGACTTTCAAAGCCTGCATAGTTGGGTAGACTGATTAGATAGACTGTCAGCTTAGGACCCATCTTAAAACTTTTTTTGTTTTCACAGTATATTTTTGTTCCTTTTCATTCTTGTTACAGGAGATCTTTGTTGATTGATCTACAAAGTTTTGACTAGTCTTTTATAATTGTGGACCTAAAAATTATAAAAATTAGTATGGTTCAACTTGGCCAGATACATCTGAGTGAACTCTGGTTTATAAAAAGTTGTCTTGTGTGTGTGTGTGTGTGTGTGTGTGTGTGTGTGTCTGTCTATCCAATTTGTTACAACATGTACAGCTCTTTTGTTTATGCTTTTTTGTCCATTTTATTGTCTGTTAAAATAACATCCCTCTCCTACATAGTCTTTTCTTGATGCAAATGAAATATTGATCAAAGGTCAAGATGAAGAGAGAAATAGCTGAGGTGAATGTCTTTACTAAAATAACCAATAAATTTTGTCAAATTTTAAAAAAGGAAAATGAAAGTGCGTTGAGACCATAATATTGTGAAGGAAATCAGACACACAAGATTACATGAGAAAAGTATAAATAAAGAGAAAAATAAAAGATAGCCAATGGCAAGAAGGGAGATAGTTGTTTCTCAGTGGGGAAGGGGATCAAGAAATGGAAGGACAGGGTTGGAGGGGAGGGACATAAGATGAAACAAAGAAAGAATTAAGATTTGTTTTGTATGTGTACCAACTACACACAAAGAAAGTAAATATTATATACTGCAAGTGTGTACAAAAAAGGAAAGTGACCAAAACATGGGTAAAGGGAGGAGGGAGGAAAGGGGATGGGGATAAAAAAGCAATTAAGATGCTATATATATTTGACATAAGGAATGCAAACATTATTTAAGATACACATGTACTAACAAAAAATTGATACAATGGCAAAACAAAAACAAATCATATTACAACATCTTACTAGTCAAATTCATCCAATCACTTCTTGCCTCAGAGTAAAAGCTACAATACTTTAAATGGCATACAAAAGCCCACATGATGCATTCTGTTTCACCCATTTCCTGTGTTCTTCACAACATCCAAAGCAGGTTTGGAAATATTATATAAATGGTCATAAAAGTATGAAAGAAACATAACAGTATGGTACTTAACAGTACTATTTTTGGAGAAACAGAGATATTTGTTTGAACCTTGCTTAAGCACATCTATAGCCATACATGATTTCATTATTCTAGGCTACTGGTGGTGAACTTGCAGTACATGTGTTATTTGTTTTTCTTTTAAGACAATAGATGTTAATGTATGAGGTTTTTTTTTTTCTAAAATAAAACCTCAGTATTCACAATTAATCGCAGCGTTGGCACTCTGCAATAAATATGTAAGTTTTGGGTTGCATTCTGGGCACTAGTCTCTAAAAGGCTCACCATTACTGTTCTATGCTCTAGTCTCATTTGTAAAATGAGGATTCCTTTAATTCATTCACTCAGCAAATATGAATTGTCTCTAGTCTATTCTGGGTACTGTTTTAGGCACTGTAGATAGAGCAATGAATGTTACATACAAAAATCCTTACCTGCATGTGGCCAACATTTCAGAATGTGAGAAGACAACAAACAAATAAGCCAGTAAATATGCAATATATCAAATAGAATTTAGAACTTTTCTCATTGTTGAGATAAAATACCTGATATCCAACAGTAAAGGAAGAAAAGTTTTATTTGGGGCCACAGTTTGTAGATCTTTCAGTTGATAATTCACTGGCTTCAAAGCAAGGCAGCATGGAGGAGGGGCATCATAGAGGAGAAACAGTTCATGACAGAGGGATGGCAGCAAAAGCAGCAAGCTGTGAGTGACCCTCTTTCTATCCCTTATATCTTGCCCAGGGTACCTAGCATTAGAGCAGATAGCAGTCACACCCAGGGTGAGACACACTTAATACCAGCATCACATCCTTGATCCCAGCATCACACACCTTAGATCCAGCCACCTCTAAAAAATCCCACTTATGACCACATGAGGCTTTGGGGGGACATCCACATACAAGTCATAACATAGAGATAAGTTTTACAAAGAAAAAGAAAAGCAGTTTAAGGGAGTAAAAAGCAATGGAGAAAGATATTGCAAGAATTAAATTGAATCATCCATGCAAAGTGTTTAGTACAGTGCCTGGAAAATTAAAATACTTAAAACATAACATAACAACTTCATTGCCATATTGATCCTCCCTTCCACCAAGACCATATCAGTTGATTTTTAAAAATGTTAGTAGATAAAAGCATTAAGTCTAATCATGTCCATGTTACAAATAGAAAGAGACACAAATTATCCAAGGACTCAGAATGAGGTAGATGCCGAGGCAGGACAACTCCAACCTTACTGGCTTTCCATGCATTCCTCTTATGATCAACAGGGCTGTTAAGCTCTGCAATGGCAAGGCTGGATGTCCTCTCCAATAATTTCTTTATCTTCAGATCCAAGAGCAGGAGGCAGCTCAAAAGATACACAATCACAGGACCAGGCAGAAATTCACACAAGTAAAATGGGTTTCCATCTCCTCAGCAGGCAAAGTGATTGAAAAGAGAGATTCATATGTGTGTGTGTGTGTGTGTGTGTGTGTGTGTGTGTGTGTGTGTGGTGATGGTAGTCGTAGTGGTGGTGATAGGGTGTTGGTTGGAAATACAAAGGAAGATTTTCTGAAGTGCTGGTTTTACTACATGAGAACTACATGCCAAAGAATGCCTAAAAATTCCAATGAGGAGGACTGAATCAAATAGCCAAAAGGTAAGGGACAACCAGCCAAGTTTTAGATTCAGAATGCAAAGGGATTTGACAGAATTTCATGTAATAACAGGCCCTAAAATGCTAGTCTCCTCTTATCCTTTGCAGATGCCCTAATCATCTGTACACAGTCACCCCTGGCAAGCATGTCTCTTTATAGAGTCCCATGACCTCTCTCTGCCCAAACCTGCCTCCCCGACCAAGACCTCTTATATCACTCCAACCAAAAAGAAAACAAATCTTAGGTATTGTTGACTGTGGAGTATCAAGTTGTTGGGTATATTTGTCCCTTTAGAATTCTTTCTATTTTCAAAAGTTAGTCCACTGCAAGCAATGCCAAAAGGAGAATTAGACTGCTAATGAGTGTACAATCAGGGGCCTGAAAAGTAGCAATTTTTTGAGAAATTGAGCTTTGCTAGGGGACTTCATGTCATTTTTCTCTGATCAAGGTCTGGATCAATGGGAAGTGAATAAAAAGTCTGACCTAGTAGAACATTCTGCTACCAAGTCAAAGGTCTAGTGCACTGCTTCTAGTGCAAGGCTTATCTTTCCCTTAAAAGAAAGTAATAATAGATACCTTATGAAAAAGCATAAGGAGCATTAATGAAAATAGAGTCTTCCCTACCACCAGGCAAGTGAAGATACTAGAGAAAGTGATTCAGAAGGTTCTCATTATGAAATTCCTCTATAACAACTTTATCAATGGCTTTACCAGTCATTTAAGCTTTAACATATAGAAAGCCCTTTCACACACTAAGCTCTTGTACTCAGAAGCCCACTTGTACCCCACCTCCAAGACTGTCAAGAGGCTCAGTAGTAAAGTACAACTGATGAAAATCTCATAGGCCAGCAAAACTGATTTCTTCTTCCTGCACCCAACAGAAAGGAAAACACGCACTTATGGGAGTGACCAGACTCACTCCAAAGTTTACCCCCTAACATCTGAATATTGTGGAGGAAATCTAAACTAAGCAGAGTGGGTGACCAAAGACCAGAGTACCCTTGGTTCTAGGGAAAGTCAAGTCAATATCCTAGCAGGAGGAGGAATTTCTTCACTCACCCTAGAATCTCCAACCGTAGGCAGGGGGGAAGAGGAGACCCCACGTGACTTGTGTTAAAATAAGGAAGGAAGGAGAACGTGAAATGGAACTAGTAGTTCTAGTGAGAGACATAGGGAAGGAAGAGAAATAAGCAGACACGAACATTGGCAGCCACTAGGAATTTAAATCGCCTTGGTAGCAGGAGGCTGGAAGAAAGGACAGAAGTAGCTCTGGCCATAATGGAGGTTTTACTGGACCTGATGCTCTTGAGCCACCTGACGGTGATCGCCTGTGGTAAGACAGCAAATGGGAACATAGATACCTCTGCTGGCATAGGAAAAAGACTTTATGGGTGATGTTGATTTCTTACTGAGAAAAGATGTTTCAGTTGGGTAGATGCCTGTTCTCAGCTAATGCTGCAAGCTTTCTCAGCTTTAGACAGAAAAGAGAGTGGTAGTTAAAGGTTGCTGGGAAAGCCAAGATGTAAATTTAGGTAGAAATTGAAAAGTGTACAATCTTTGAAAACATCTGCATGATTTTTCTAGTGCTTGTATCTTAGAGACATCAAAAAGACTCCTAATGTTACCCAAATCCTTCTGCCATATCTACTGTTTTGCATTTGAAATTATACCACTAGGCCTAATATATCTGCTTAAAAGAGGATACAGTACCGAAACATGGAATATTGCCTAAGAGGGAGATGAGACCTTAGTAGTAACCTGTACCATCATCCATTGTTATGAACAAGTGTTCAGTATTGTCTTTTCACACACTTCTGGTTACTTGGTATTTACTACTTCCCCAGACCATCTAGTCTATCTAGGAGTAGTTCCAAGTGTTACTTGTGTTAAACTAAATCTACCTCTCTGCGGCTTCTATTCAAAGGCCCCAGATATGCTTCTTGGAGTCCCACAGAATATATTTGATTCTTTTTCTCTGTGACAGGCCTTCAAAGGTCTGAAAAAACACAATATGTTCCTTTAATGCTCCTCTTCTTCAAGCTAAATAGACCAGTTCCTTCAACTGGTTTTTATAGGACTTGCTTTTTTTCCCTGTTCTTGGGCTAACACATGGTAACCATAGCCCAGTTTAGGCTATTTTTGGGATCTTAATGCTAACACATATTCCAACTATCTCATTGTGGCATCATTTCTGTGGGTCTGCTTTTATACTTATTTACATTCCTAGGAAGTTAGATGACTTTTTAGGAAGCTAAGCTTGGGTAACAGCTAAGTGAGACTTAAGATAGGGTAAAGGGTTATTGCTGAACCCCTCTGCTTGTTTCATTTCCCAAGAGGGAGAGGCTAAGTAGGTGTTACTTTGATGTTATTTGTGGGATCAGCAACTCAGCTTTTGGTAGCTGACTCAGCTTAGGTTACCTATATCCTTGGGTTCTGTCAACATTTAGAACTTCAGATTTAGAAAATAACCTAAATTACATCAACCAAGAGGGAAAAGAGTTTGCCCTAGGCAACAGAGCATTAATGTCAAATTTAATGCTTATAAAAAGGAATATTCATTCTACAACTAAAATATTTTTTATTCTCCAGCACAATTTAGAATATAATTATTTATCTCCTTCAAATATGTCTGCTTGAGCTGGAATTTATTAAGTTAGAGACTTGGGGATACATTTTATAAATGCTAAACTTAAATTCTGCGTGTGTTTATTCATGCAAGAGAGGAAAGATAAATCACATGACAATTCCACTATGTCTTGTTTCATATCCAGCCTGTGAGTTCTTCCAGCCCTTGAAGCAGGCTTATCATTTGTGTGTGAAGTCTTACACTGTGGAACTTAGGCTCAGGATATACTGAACGGCTTACAATGTCTTCCCCCTCCCTGGACCTCAGTGGCTCCACGACATCTGTGCAATAAGAAGATTGGATTGGCTTGCATCCAAGGGGACTGCCAGCATAGCTTCACAGCTAAAAAAAACTCCTATGGGCCAGAATCAGATGTCAGTTTCTTCCTGTGGGTTAAAAAGAATGTTGAAATAATTATAATAAAACAAGAAATCCTAGCATTAACATTTTATAAACTTTTGGAACATTTTGTAAACATTTTATATGCATCTGTTATTGAATTTAATCATTTGTCCATGAGGTAACTAGGAGAGGAAGAGAAGCCAGGGACTGGGGACAAAGAGGTACAGGCACAGAGAAATCTCAGTCACTCTGATGATGGAAGAAGATTCAGAAAGGGACTCAGCAGGGACTCACACTCAACAAATCAAACCTTTCTTTTTCTTCAGAACTAGTACAGAGGCCCCAGACCTTTGCTTATCTAAGTTTAGGTCCTAGGACCAGAGTACTGTCCACTCTTTCTTAAGCCAAGCCTTCCTTCGACAAACCTTCCTAGTCAATGTTTAGCCCTGGTCTTTCTCCTCAGGGAGAACAATGTTCAAAGGCCTAGGGGCTCTAGATTCTAGGAAAGCCTTTTCAGGAAGCAGCTGGAAGATGAGAGCAGTTTTTTTTTCCAGGAAGTCTAAAATATATGTACTACTAAGATGACATCCTTGAAACCATGTCACATAGGTGCGGGTAAGAGGCTTCTGGTTTCAATTGTGGCTAATGGTTTAATAGGTTAAGAAGAAAAGAAAGCAATGTATCATTTGAAAACCTGTATTCTGGGCCTCCAGAACCAACTCTGCCTTGCTATTTGTATGACTTTGGATAAGAATATCTCACTACGAACCTAAGTTTGTCCATATACAGTGGTACCTAAATTCACAAGCTTAATTTGTTCTACAATTTTGGAAAAGATGACCACGTTTGTGTTTGTGTGTGAAAGATGGCTGTGATCACGTTTGTCACCTGATGCAGAATTTGCATACAAGAACAAAAGTCTGCCAAATGCTTTTGTTTGTGAACCAAATTGTTTTCAAACAAAAGCATTTGTGAACTGAGGTATCACTATATCCAGAAGGGACATAATGTGACTGTTTCTAAAAGGTCTCCTAGCTACACAATTCCACACATCTCCAAATTTCATCGTACTACCTCAGTCACTGTTTTACAAGTAGCTCAAAATTTGGTGCTTTTGATATATCCCTCATGGATAAAGCACTTCTGTAGGAGGTGGAACTTTTCTGAAATGGATTGTTCCTACCCAGTCTTCCAGGAAAATCGGGAGTATTGCTTAATTTAGCTAACATTTTACATTGACTTCCAAGCCACTCTTGTCACGGGGACACATTCTGTTGTCTTCTCTGGCTGCCATACAACCCACAGATGGACTAGTACCTGCCCAAAACTCAGTAGAATCTATCAGACTGGGGAGGATGCCTCCTTACTTGTCATGTGATAACTTCTCCTTCAAGTGCCTATGAAAGTTGATGATGATCTAGAATATATAAAGAACTCAAAAAAATCAGCCCCCCAAATATAAAGACCTGATTCAAAAACGGGCATCTGAAATGAACAGACATTTCTCAGACAAAGAAGTAAAAACAGCAAGTAAATATATGAAAAAATGTTCCACATCACTGGTAAATTGAGAGATGCACATAAAAACAACCCTGAGATTCCACCTCATCCCACAAAGCATGGCTGCAATCAAGAAATCAAACAATAACAAGTGGTGGGGTTGTGGGGAGAAAGGAACCCTTCTCCATTGTTGGTGGGAGTTCAGACTGGTGCAACCACTATGGAAATCAATATGGAAATACCTCAAAGAGCTGGGACTAGAGTTTCCATTTGACCCAGCCATCCTCTTCTGGGTATCCTTCCAAAAGAATTGAAAGAATCATATCACAGAGATATATGTTTATATATATATCACCTAAGTTTTTTATATATATCACCTATGTTTATAGCAGCAGAGTTTGTAATAGCCAAAACTTGGAAACAGCCCATTTGCCCATCAGTTGGAAAGTGGATAAAGAAGATGTGGTTTTTCTTTTTTTTTTTAAGATGTGGTTTTTCTATAAAATGAAATATTACTCAGCCATAAAGAATGAGAAATTAGATTCATGTATAGGAAAATGAATACATATTGAGTATATACTCCTAAGTGAAATAAATAAGTCACACATGTGTAAATACCAAATTGTTTCTCTCGTGTGAATAAACTATAATAGTACATAATATCCTAATGATATAATGGGCAAAGTGAAATAGGAAGAAAGAGACTAAATGTGTAGGGAAAGTGGGAAGGGTAGGGGAAAGCTAATAAGGGAAAAGAAAAAAATATGAGAAAATGAAAAAATAGAAATGAAGTGTTTGTAAAGGGGGAGGGGAGGAGGGGTGAAGGGAGGGCAGAGACAAAGGGAAAAAATGAGAACCAAGACCTGTCATGTAAAGGTACAAGATCCCAATGATGAATGTAACTGTACTATATACCTAAAATGAACCAATAAACTCAATGAGGAAAAAAAAAAGAAAGTTGATGATGATCTAATCAAATGAATATTTAGCCAGGGCAAGACATAATGAAGACTTCTATAGGAGAAGCAGAATCAAGGCAGATATAAGAAGTTTTACTTGAAGCATAAGAGAAGACTGACATTTATCCAACATCTACTGAATGTCAGATATATAATAGGTGCTTTCACATTTATTAGTTCACTTTTATTTATAACAATAATCCTCCATGGAATATTTTTGTTATTTTTACTTTATCAATAATGACATGAATTTCAGACAGGCTTAGTAATTTACAAAAATGGCACAGAGAGATAGGCAGTAAGGCAGACAGACCACCCACCTAGATGGTGTTATTCTTATACATGATACAGTGTTTGATTACTTCTTGATCTTACTAAATTCTCCTGCTATATATTTTTCCTAGGCTTTCTTGACACTGAAGGGATAATTGAAAGGTACAAGTCAAATGCTATTGTGGTTACCCTCATTTTGGAGATCAGGAAACACGAAGAATTGTACAATATCCTCTTATGGAGCTCTATGTCTACTGTCCACTCTCTTTTTATGCTACTAATAAAGCAGGTTTAGAAGAGGAGGAAAGACTGAAAAGAATGAGAGGAATGGGCAAAGGAAAAACAAAATCAAAATGGAACCATGGTGGAAAGAGGAACAACTGAAGGAAGGAAGGGGAAGAAAAAAGTAAATACAGGAAAATACACACCATTATGGAAAGTCTAGCCAGCAAATCTGTCCCATACTCCCATTCTGGGATAGAGGAGTCAACCCTGACTTACTTCCAGAAATCAATTTCCCAATTGTGAATTTGATGCTAGATTGCCATGACCGCAGTGAGCTATGTGAAAATCTCCAGCTAGTTCCTACATATGGAAACATAGCCAGGATGTACGGCTCCCCAAAGGTCAGAAAGGAAATATGCATATGTATGGACAAAGACATTTTCAGTAGCTCCAGTTATGCTCAGAGCAGAATATTGCTCTGTTTCCCAGAAAGGACGTGAGAGAGTTCTTTGCAGTGGAGTGAAGGGAGATTGGGGAGGTTCAGAGCTCAGGGTTAATTAGAAAGAGTCCATTAAACAAAGAGGATAGGATGGTATTCAGGAGTCCTAAGGATGATTAGTTTTTGCTTTTGTGGTGCTAAAAACATATATGGCATGTATGCATGTGATGATGTTAAGCTGTAACTGCATGCACATGAAAACAGGAACTATCATTCTCACAGTGAAACCCACTACCTGGTGAAAGTTAACTAGTGGCTAGAGTATGTTATATTTAATTTTTATTTCCATTACAGTGCATTAGCAATGGACACGTAGGGTTGGAAAGACCCTTAAAGAATAATGCTGTCCAAGACCTAAACAGAGCTTAGAACTTCCCTGAATAGCATGATCCACCCATAGAAAATTCTGACTATAAAGTTTTTAGGGAACACTAAAATTACTCCATTCGGGTTTTGCTTTGTAGGTTTATGTATCTCTATGCCATATCTGAAACTCTCCAGAGAATGTGTGATGTAGGTAGCAATGACAGTTATGTTTACTCATTTTTTTCTATTCAAGGCCTTTATCTTGGGTGAAATATATCATTGATGTTCTAAGAGTACCTGGTGAGGGCACAGGCCAAAGTTTCAAATTTAGTATCTCCACTGATAGAAGTCCTGGTACTTGATACATTCTGGGAGCTAGAAATCATAGGCCCAGCCCATTCAGGAAGTGTCATCTTTTATCTGCTTGACTGAAACATGAGAACGCTGGGCTAAATGAAAGGATTTTATTCAGTAGTAGCTCATACCCTGAAACCACTTGTCCTAGAAGGGACCTAAGGACATTGACTAAATACAGGGCCCTCCTCCTAGCCCCAGTTGAACAGGATACACAATCCTCAAAATACGACATTTGTGGATCAAAAATTCTGCTGGGGAGCAATGGCTGTTTCAATATTTCCATCCTTTTTCCTCCATGTTTCTGTTTGAAAAATCATCAAGGCGCAATCTCTCTTTCCTCCTACCACCATCCCTCATACAGCCAGCTCCAAGATTATACTCATACCTTTCTCTTGTTGATACCAAACATGGATGTATTTTTTTCCTTGTTGAGTTTATTGGTACATTTTAGGTATACAGTACAGTTACATTCATTATTGGGATCTTGTACCTTTACAGGGCAGGTCTTGGTTCTCATTTTTCCCCTTGTCCTGGCCTTCCCTTCACCCCCTCCCCCCCTCCCCATTTACAAACATTTTATGTCAAACATGGATGTATTATTAAGCTTTCCTCTCACAGAGAACTCACACCTTATAAGAGGAGAGGTTTCATTTGGCTCATGGTTTGGGGGAAGGAAGTACATAGCAGGCTGGCTTTAACAACATGGTGGAAGGGCACAGCAGAGTAAAGACTCATGGAAGCAGAGCAGGGTCAGAAGAACAGTGTCAGAATACAAGGAGTGAGGAACCAGACATAGACCCTACATTCATGCCTCCATGACCGACCCAGATATTCCTAGAAGTGTGCTCCCCAGGGTGTATCACAAAGCCAATCAAGTTTTTTAACTTTTGTCCGCACTAACTACAATGGAAAAAAAAACAACAACTTCTCTCTCAGGATGAAATTTTCCAATGTATCTTTGATAAGAACTAAAAGAATCTAAAAAAGACATAGAGACAAAAGAAATTTAAAATCCAGCTTGCAAAATACAGGCCTCAAATTTTAAAATAACTAATGGTTTTGTTAAATAAGAATGCATACCCAGGCCTCTGTTGCATTAAATTTTGCCATCCTCCTTTTTTTTCTTTTTTTTTTTTTTTTTTTGGCCTACCTCCTTCCTCTCTTCCAGAGAAGAGTTTAGTATTGAAATTTTAATGATGAACCTTCTCCTGAGGGAACAGGAAGGGATTATAAAACAGAAGATTCATTCTTGCTAAGCCCCAAATTTCCCATATTTTTCTAGCCACATATTTACACATGAAACTAAGACAGTCCAGGCATAACTCCTCATAATTTTTGTTCTCACCTCTTTAGAAAAGAAATTTTTTTCATGAACATACAGAATGCCAGAATTGGTAAAATCCTTAGAGGTCATTCCATTGAAACTTTTTACATTATAGATGAATAAAATTATTCTAAATGGTGGGGGTTACTTAGCTAAGATTAATTTATAGCAAGAGAGTGATACGAAAGGGACTTGAAACTCCCAAGACCTAAAACACTGTGAAAGCTAGTTCTGTTTGATACAAATGTTGGCAGAGAACAAAAGGGTACAGGGAAAATGGAAGCAAAGTTGAGGAGTGTTTCGCAGAAACTTCTTGGGGCCTGCCACTGCCAGTGTAGCTCTCCGGTGTATATGCCTTCTATGTTTGCTTCTTTCATCTGTTCCCTCACTTCAGGCCATCCCATCTTGGAAGCACCAGAGAATATGACAGGACCTTGGAAAGGAGATGTGAATATTCCTTGTACCTATCATCCCCAGAAGGGCTATACCCAAGTCATGGTGAGATGGGTGGTACGACGTGACTCGGACCCAGTCACCATCTTCCAACGTGACTCCTCAGGAGACCATATCCAGCAAGCAAAATACCGAGGCCGCCTGCATGTGAGCCAGGAGGTTCCAGGGGTTGTATCTCTCCAACTGAATAGTTTGGCGATGGATGACAGGAGCCACTATACCTGTGAAGTTACCTGGCAGGCCCCTGATGGCAACCAAGTGATAAGAGATAAGATCATTGATCTCCGCATCCAGAAACGTGAGTCACTGTGGGAATAGGAAAGCATTAACAGGCAAAGATTCAGTGGAGCACTGTAATCCTAGTAAACCTCTGAGAAATCAAGACACCTTGGTTTATCTGTACATAGGCTTTCTTCAGTTACATGTGTTGATCAGAGGAAGTGTACAGACAGAGGGTCCTCAGGGTTATCACTCCCTTGGTAGAAGTTAATCAGTGTTGGGAAGGGTTTCTGGCTTTCAAATCTACCTCTTCATATATTCCAGAATTTCTGGCATTTATATCCTGTTGCTCTCCTTAGGTTTGGGGCTTTAAAACTTATAAAAATGAATATTTTCAATCAAAATATTGGAGAGTAGACAAATCCTGGCAGAAAAGTTCTGGAAAGGGGGAGGCAAGGAGTTACCCCAAGATAGGTTTTGCTGGGTTAACAATTTATAAAGTTCTGGTCTTGGTAATCTAAAACTGCAAATAACAGAAAATTTGAGCCTAAAATATAACATTTTCTTCAGTCACTTGTTTAACTCCAGGTAATCCCAAACACAAGATAATACAAAATAGTACCTAATCCTCCAAAAGTACCTAATTCTTTGTATCAAAGGAAGCTGTCGCTACACTGAAAAGGTATAGCTCACTTCCAGAGCACTTGTGTAGCATGTATGAGGCCCTGGGTTCTATCCCCAGCTTTGCAAAAAAAAAAAAAAATGTGATCCAAAGGGAGGTTTTTTTTTTTTTTTTTTTTTCCCTTCTTTCCTCCCAATTCAGGAGCTATCTTTATTTCCATTTGCAGATACATTTATGCCCTTATGCCCAACAAGGATGAATGGTCTTGTGTCCCACAGCCTTATGATTCCCAGAGCCTGCTCTTTTCTCTTCCCTTTGCAGTCCCTGTCTCCAAACCTACAGTGACAACAGGCAGCGGTTATGGCTTCACTGTGCCCCAAGGAATGAGGATTAGCCTTCAATGCCAGGCTTGGGGTTCTCCCCCCATCATCTATGTCTGGTACAAGGAACAAGATAATAACCAGGAACCCATCAAAGTGGCAGATTTGAGTACTTTACTCTTCCAGTCTGCAGTGGTGGCTGACTCAGGCTCCTATTTTTGTACTGCCAAGGGCCGTGTTGGCTCTGAGCAACGCAGCAACATTGTGAAGTTTGTGGTCAAAGGTGAGCACTCTTCCCTCCAGGTGAGAATCTTAACAGAACAAAGACACATCACTACTGCCCTTATGCCAGAGAATGGTTGGAGGAGTGAAGTCCTGGGTAAGCAATGATCACACACACACACACACACACACACACACACACACACACACACACACACTATACAAATATTCAGAACCAGGGATCATAGGGTTAGAGATAATATCTGTCATATAAGGATGGTTAAAGGTAATGTGACATTTAGAGTTACCTCATGTTTGCCAGATACAAAGTTTAGGAATTCAACGCATATTTCCTCACCAAATCCTCAAAAATATGCCATAAGGTGGCTAACATGACTTTCATTTTAAAGAAAGGAAACTTAAAGAACAATCTACTTGCTTGTTGACTCACAATAAGGAAGTACAAATCCAGATTTGTACTCTAATTTTAGTACTTACACTGTGTCTGATTGTTCCACATGGTTGACTCTTCCTGGACACCCTCTGAAAGATGTTATTTTTTTTCTTCTCTTTTGGTTGTTTTGTTACTTTAATTAGGTTTCTGTTTTATGAGGTAAAGCCTAGATCTCTACATATTTTCTTTTATTCCCCCTTCTCTCTACAAATTCTCATACTGGGAAGGTTATATGGAAAGTGGTTCATCTCTCTGAGGGTCAATATTCTGGTCAAGCAGCAAGGACGATGTTTCAACACATGCATACAGCATGCAATGATCAAATGCAATCTCCCTTTACCCACCTTCACCCCCATTCACCATTTTCAACCTCTATTAATCACTATTCTCCTTTCAGACTGATCATAAATTTCAAGGATGTAAACTTCATAGAGACAAATTGAACATTCTTGCCTCTATTTTATGAGTTTTTAGCATTTACTGAATATCTATTTCATGTCACTAGATTATGCAGTCTAAGAGTGCAAAATTCTGCCTCTTCATGAATAATCCCCACAGTTCATAAAAGCACTTGTACATAAAAGAACATTAAATGAATATTTGTCAGTGCATGGACAAAATACATTACTATCTCATCTTCAAAAATCTTCCATACTGTTGTCAAAATCATTTTCCTAAAACTTCAACTGAAAAAATGCTCACTCCCTTCTTTAAAAATCTCCTGTTATTCCCTGTGGATCCTTCCATCCAAAGAAGAAAGCCTGAAGGCTTTTAGCTAATCCCCAGCCTTCCCATCCAGCCTTGTTTTCTAATATATCTCTCCACATCTCAAACAGCATATTGTTTTGCTACCCACAATATTTTTCCACCTTCTCGGTCTAAAGAAGTTCTGTTGACCTTTCACTGATACCTTCTTTTTGTGTTAAAATATACTTCACATAGAACACATGAAACATTCAAGGCAATTGTATCCTATTAGTCTGGTTTTCAATCTGTATGTATGATAATTAACTCTATAAAATCTTATATGATAAAGAAATGAATCTGATGTTGGAAAAGTAAAAAGGGCATAGAGGGAGGTGAGAAAAAGAAGGTAATTGAAAGGTATTATGTACATACATTAATCCCTTATAGTGAATGTCATCATTATGTACTGCAAGCATGCACTAAAAATAAAATAAAAATTAAAAAATATACATACTTCACATAGAAAAAGATTTAACATTTTTAAGTAAATTCTTCATTGGTGAATATGGTTGTGAAACCATCACGATTATCTAATTCCGGAACATTTCAATTTCCCTAAAATACCCATTAAGCAGTCATTTCCATTCCCCTATTCTCTTAAACCCTATAAAGCACTTATCAACTTTCTGTTTCTACAGATTTCCTATTCTGTACAGCTCATACAAATTGAATCATAGGATGTAACCCTCTTCTCATTTTTGGCACTTAGTATGAGAGTTTCAAAGTTCATTTATGCTGCAACATGTATCAATACTTCATTGTCTTTATTACTGAAAAACAGAGCATTACATAGATGTACCACATGTAATTACCCATTTTTCAGTCCATGGACACTAGAGTTGTAGTTTCATTTCAATCTTATGCATGGACAAACACTATCAATAATCATGTAAATTTTTGGGGACATATATTTTTAATATCCACAGATATACGACTAGAGTGGAATGGCTAAGACCCTACAAGTTCTAAACTCTTTCCCAAAGTGGCTTTATTATTTTATACTTCCAGTAGCAGTATATAAGGGTGGCAACTTCTCCACATTCTCTCCAACATTAATTTCCTGTTTTATTGTTTTAAATTATAGACATCGTAGTAGATGTGAAGTGGAATTTCATGACTTACATGCTCTTAATGATGAATACTGTTGAACGTATTTTCATATGTTCAATGATCAATTGTATGCCTTCTTTTTATTTATATGCCCTCTTTTCATGCATATTAATGAGGTTCAGTGTTACCTATTGACACATGCATACAGCATGCACAGATCAAAATGCAACCTCTGTTTACCCACCTTTACCCAGACATATCACATCAACTTCTATTAAATTACTATTCTACATCCAGGTTAATATTTTAGCATATGTGCTGCCGAAGCAAGCACTTAGGTTGATATTTTTTAAATTCCACATAGGATAGAAAATATGCAATACTTTTCTTTCTGTGTCTGGCTTGTTTCACTTAACAGAATGTTCTCCACTTCTATCCATTTGCTGGAAACGATATGATTTCACTCTTCTGCATGGATATGGAATATTTAATTGTCTGTATATACCACATTTTCTGTATTCATTTTTATGTTGAGGGGCACCTAACCTGATGCCAGGTACCTTTCCAGTGCACTGATTTCATTCCTTTGGGAAATGTAGCCAGAATTGTGATAGCTGGATCATATGGAAAATTTAGTTTTAGTTTTATTTTTTGAAGATCCTCCTTACTGCTCTTCATAATGGCTATACAAATTTACTCTTCCACAAATGGTACATAAGAGTTACTTTTACTCCACATTTTTCATCAGCATTTATCATTCTTTGTTTTTCTGGTAATAGCTATTGCAAATGAGTGAGATGGTATCTCATTGTAATTTAGATTTACATTACCCTGATGGTGAAAGATATTGAATATTTCATATATGTATTTATCATTCATATTTTTTCTTTTAAGAACTGTCTTTTCTGACCAGTTACCCATTTTAATTGGATTATCTGGGTTTTCTCTTGCCTTTTTGCAACCTTATGTATTCTGAATATTAATTTTTTGTTCTGTGAATAGCAGGTAAAGGTCATTTTGTGGGTCTTCTCTTTACTCTGTTGATAGTTTTCCATACTGTACAAAAGCTTCTCTGGTGAAACCCATTTGTCAATTTTTGCTTTTGTTTTTTGTGTTTTCTGGATCTTATCCTGAAAATCATTGCCAGTACAATGTCTTAATGTATTTCCCCATGTTTGCATCTAGCAGTTTTAGAGTTTTAGGGTTTAAGTTTTTGATCCATCTTGAGTTGGTTTTTCCACAAGATGAGAGATAAAAGTTAATTTTAATCTTCTGAATGTGGACATCTTGTTTTCCCAGAACCTTTTATTAAAGAGATTGTCCTTTCTCCAATGTATGCTTTTGGCATCTTTGTCTGAATCAGTTAATTGTACATGTGTGAGCTTATTTCTGGGTTGTCTGTTCTGCTCCATCGATCTATGTGTATTGTTATGCCAGTGCCTGCTGTTTTTCTACTATAGTTCTGTAGTATGTCTTTAAATCAGTTATTGTGATACCTCCAGACTTCTTTGAGAACTTCCTATCCAAGTACTTTATTCATTTTATAAAAATTGCTTGGTTTACCTTTTTGTTGTTGAATTGTTCTTTATATATTTAGAATACTAAATCCTTATCAAGTATAGTTTTGCAAATATTTTATATGCTTTCTTTTCACTTTTTGATAGTGTCCCTTAGAACAAAAATATGTTAAATTTTGATGAAGTCCAACCTGTTTCTTATTTTGACATCTGTACTTTTCATGTCATAGCTGAAAAGTTATTGCCCAACCTAAAGTAATGAATATTTGCATCCATGTTTTCTTCGTGATAGTTTGTAATTTTAGCCTTTATATTTAGAACTTAGATACATTTTGAGTTAATTTTGATATTAACTCAACATTGATATTTGCAACAACATGGGTGGACCTGGAGCACTATATTATTTTTATGCTACTGTAATGGAAATGCTTTGCAGCATTATTTTTGGATTGTTCAATACTAATGTACAGAAGTAAAACCAATTTTTATCTTTTAACCTGCTAACTTGATTAACGTATTTATTGTATTTAATCACTGTTTTGTGTACCTTTAAGGATTTTTTCTATATCTGATCATACTATCTGTAAAAAGAGATAGTTGTTTTCTTCTTTCCCTCACTGGAGTACTAGGAATCAATCTCAGGGTATCTATATGATTGGCAATTATTTTTTCTGTAGGTGCCTTTTATCAGATTGAAAATGTTTCCTCCATTCCTAATTTGTTGTTTTATCATGTAAGTGTATTGGGTTGTGTTAAATGCTTTCATTGCATCTATTGTGATTAATGGGTGCTTAGAAATATGGTGTACTTTTACACTTACTTGATTTTGAATGCTAATCTAAAACTTTTAATATACTGTTAAATTTGATATGCTACTATAATTAAGGATTTTTATATAAACATTAATAAGAAATATTGGTTCTTCATTTTTTCTTTTTATATTTTTGTCTGCTTTTGTATCGGGATGACACTGGTCTTACATATTGAGTTGAGAAATATTATTTCACAAATTTAAAAAAATAATTAGTGAAGATTTGGCATTAATTTTTCAATGAAGCCATGTGAGCTTTAATTTTTCTTTGTGAGTAGTTGTTTGATTAGTAATCCAATATTTTTGCTTCTTAAACTTCTGTCATGTCAGATTTTCTATTTCTTATTCAGAAATCATTTTCTGTTATTTACTTCTCATTTCATTTCATTGATGTTGGGGAACATACTTCTTTTCATTTTGATTCTTTCAAATTTACTGAAATTTATTTTAGAAGTAATATGTAGTCTGTATATGTCTGTTAGATCTAAGTAATTAACAGTGTTTTTCAAATCTTTATCTTCCTTTCTCATCTTTTATCTAGTTGTTCTGTCCATTACTGAAAGAGGTATTAAGCTCTCAGACTATTCTTGCTTTCATTTTTGCTTCATGAATTTAGAAATTCTCTTCCTAGGAGTATACATGTATAATTCAATTGTCCTAATGAAGGATTGATTTTTTTTATAATTTCAAATTGTTCTTTGTCTCCCATAACAATATTTGTCTTATAGTGTATTTTGTCAGAATGTTTCTCCATCCTTTTACTATAAAATTGTTTCTCTTTGAAGACTAAACACACACATAACATAATTAGATTTGTGGTTTTTACTTCACTCTGACAATGTCTGCCTTTACATTTTAGAGTCTTTTCCATTCATGTTTAACATAATTACAAACAAGGTAGGATTTATGTCTGCTGGTTTTCTCTTTTTCCTATATATACTATATCTTTCTTATTTCTCTATTTTTTATTACTGTCATCCTGGTTATTCAATAAATAATTTATAATATACTATGTAATTCCTTTACTGTTTCTTTAGCTATTCATTTTTGTTAGTTTATTGGTGGTTTGCATGTGGATTATCATTTATTTTTAATTTACAATAGAGTTTGGACTTATATGAACTTAATTCCAATAGTATACAAAAATTTATTTCTATACATCTCCATTCCCTCCCCTTTAATGTTATCATTATGTCTTTATATATTATAATGAAATCAACAAAATGTGTAATTATTGGTTTATACATCTTTTGGGGGGATAACAATTTGCTGTGTTGTCCAGGTTGGCCTTGAGTTCTTAGGCTCAAGAAATCCTACTGCCTTAGTGTCCTACATAGATTTAAATATAGGCACATGCCACTGATCCCAGCTTTATACAGTTTATGTTAAATCAATTGTGAAAATATATTTACACTCCAAATTTATGAAAGTTACCTTTACTCGTGTTTTTATGTTGCTTTGAGTTACTATATAGTGTCCTTTTATTTAAGCATTAAGAATATCATTTGTTTTGAGACAGGGTCTGACTGTGTAGAGCAGGCTAGTCTTGAACTCACTGTAGCCCATTGTGGCCTCAACCTCACCATCCATGTGCATCAGCCTCTTTGAGTGCTTGAATTACAGGCATACATCACCAGGCCTGGTTGTAGAATACATTTTAATGTACTGGAAATAGACTCTAATATTGTTTACCTTGGAAATATCTTAACTTCTTCATTTCTTGTTTTCTCTTTTTTTTAGATGAAATCTTACTGTGTTGCCCAATCAGACTTTACACTCTTTAAGCTCCAGTGACCCTTCTTCAGCAGCCTTCCTAATAATTGCGACTATAAGTGTATGCTACTGTGCCTAGATCTCTCATTCACTAATAAGTGATAGTTTTATCGAATATATAATTCTTAATTGGTGGGATTATTGTTCCAACAATTTTAATATATCATTCTGCTGCCTTCTGGCTGCCGTGGTTGCTTATGAAAAACTAGCCATTAATCTTATTGAGAATCCCCTGTACATAAGTTGCTTCTATCATGCTACTCTCAGTATTCTTGCTTTTTTTATTATGCTGTCTATCAGTATGGATATTTTTTAGTTTATCCTAATTGAAGTTTACTGAGATTCTTGCATTTGCAGATTACTGATGTTCATCAAATGAGAGAATTTTTCTTTCTATTTCAAATATTCTCTCTCTCTCTCTCTCTCTCTCTCTCTCTCTCTCTCTCTCTTTTCCCCCCTCTCTATTTTTCTTACCCCCTATCCATTTTTCTTCAAGGACTTTAATTATGTATATATTGGTATTCTTTTTGGTATCCCATGTGTCTCAAAGGTTTTATTCATTTTTTCATTCATTTTCCTATTTCACTAACAATAATTTAAACTATATCTTCAAGTTTACTGATGCTTTATTCTGCCTGCTTAAATCTACTAGTGTTTTTTTTTACATCTAATGGTGTTTTCTTTTCTGTTGTTTTGCTTTTCAACTCTAGTATTTCTTTTTTTTCTCGCTAAGTTTACTGGTACATTTCAGGTACACAGTACAGTTACATTCATTATTGGGATCTTGTACCTTTACATGACAGGTCTTGGTTCTCATTTTTTCCCCTTGTCCCTGCCCTCCCTTCTCCCCTCCTCCCCTCCTCCTTTACAAACACTTCATTTCCATTTTTTCATTTTTTCATATTTTTTTCTTTTCCCTTATTACCCTACCTCTACCCTTCCCACTTTCCCTACACCTTTAGCCCCTTTCTTCCCAACTCTAGTATTTCTACTTGGTTCCTTTTTCTTTATTGATATTTTGTTTGAATCATGTTTTTTATTATTTAGATACATTTTCATTCAGTTTTAATACATTTAATGTTTTTAATCTATTAAGTCCAATATCATAGTTTCCTCAAGGACAATTTCTACTTATTAAATTTTTCTTGACCTGTTGTGATATACTCTCTAGTTTTTGGGGGGAGTTGTTGTTGTTGTTTTGTTTTGTTTTTGTACCAGGGATCAAACTCAAGACCTTGCACTTGCGAAGCAGGAGGTGGAACTACTGAGCTAAATCCTTGGCCCTTACTTTCTAGTTATTTTTTGTATGTCTTCTATTTCTTTTTGTTGAAAACTAGACTTTTAGAATAATATAATGTGATAACTCTGGAAATTTTATCCCCCCCCCGGGCTTGTTTTTTACTCAGCTTGCTATAATAGTTGTTTGTTTTACTTTGTTTTGTTTAGTTAATTTCTGAGTTAATTGTGTGTATTCTTTCATATTATTTGCCATGAATAGTCACTTAAATCTTTTCTTGGTTAGTTTAGTGGTCAGCTAATGATTGGATGGATATTATCTTAAATTCCTGTAACTAATAAATCTTCTAGTCTTTACCAAATAACTCTCTTGCCTGTTGTGCCATGTCTTTAATACTCAGCCAAGCAGTTTATAACTGTTTCATTGCTTCCACTTTCTGTTTATGGGACTAGAAAGGGGTAGTAACTTGTGATCTTTTCATGTATTTTCTGAGAAGGTACAGCTCACAGATGTATGTGGCCTTCTAGGTTCCCAGGAATGTGTCACAGTTTTTTAAACTTCCTAGGGGAACCTCATTGTTCAGTTTTTATTTTTAAGATTTTTGGTTACTCTCTTTTTTAAAATTGTTACCCATTGATTCAAGTATCTATGTGACAAATATTCTTCCATCCTTGAAGAGAAGCTTTTAGAATTGAGTGGCCAATAAAACAAAAATTTAAAACAAAAATTTGAGCCGGATCTTCCAAGAAACCACCAAATAGGTCAAATAATGACAATTGTTTGGGGATAAGGTCTACTCTGCTCATTTCATCAGCTGGAATGAGGTTTCATTTTCTGATTTCATCTGAGCTGGAAATAATTGATAAAACTAAAGCTGAATGCTACAAGACTAAGCCAAAATTCCACAAAACTTGCTATTATACACCCCAAAAATGGTGTTTTCTCTTCCATAAATCCTCTCTGTTGTTACAGGCTTTGGGATAATTTCCAAAAAATCTGGAAAAAGTTTAACAATATCAAAATTTTCTGTTATTTTATGGCTTTATGAATGTGTAAATGTTTCAAGATAATCACTCTACCATTTTCTCTGACATCAAGCATTAAGAGACGTCCAAAGTCTCTCTCAATAGATTAATCAGTAAATTTCAGTTAAAAGTTAGTAATAATTAAAACATATTTTCTCATCCAAGTTTTCAGACTCTCTGAACCCTAAGCACATATTCATTGGAGGTCTGTGAACCTTGATTTAAGAGTACTTCCTTAGGGCAGGGAGTGGTGGTGCACACCTATAATCCTAGTACTCGAGAGGCTGAGGCAGGAGGATCGCTGTGAGTTTGAGACCAGCCTGGGCTACATAGTGAGTTCCAGGTCAGTCTCAACTACAAAGTGAGACTCTGTCTCAAAAAAAAAAAGAATACTTCCTTAGATCAGTATTTGAAATGAACAGACAACACAGGACTTACACTATCATGAGGAAAGTTTTGAGAGGTTTAGGTATGAGCCTAACTGACCTTTACCTCCTTCCTAGGGCATTCAACTGTTCACTCAAGGGTACCAAAGCCCTTAATTGGGCTTTTTGTTTTCTTTCAGATTCCTTAGATCCATTTGAAATCACGAATGATACACCTACAACCATAAAATCTCCAATGAAAGGTGAGTTTTACTGGGATTCTTTGGAGGTAAGATAGGTCTGAAAATGTATCATGGAAACCAATATAAAAGCACCAAAACCACTAGACAAGTAATATATGATCACTGGGCTACTCAGAGAAAACAATGAAGTAAATGAATGGAAACAAAAGAAAGGTAGCAAGGGGTAGGTGTAGTGAACAAATAGAATCATGAAAACAAGGACTTTTCTTTGGGGAAATTTCTGAAACAAGATCACAGTATGACTTTTGTTTTTCTCCTCACCTGATTTGCTATGTGACTTGGGGTATATTACCTCCTCTTGATGAACTTTCTTTCCTTTATGAATCCCCAAAGTAAGAAATTACAATGCCTTGACTCATAGTACTGTGGTCAATGACATGCCCAAACACTCGAAGGACAGGCACAGATTCCCACAAAACCTCCCAACCTTTGAAGCCATCCCTTACCTTATAGAACATGTCTCAAAGAAAAATTTCTGACTCTGATGTCCTGTTATTGTAGCAACATCTACATTAAATCCATCCTGGAACCAGACTGCTAAAATAAATGTCTACTTTGGGGAGACCACTGCTGGGCCAAAGAAAGGTAAGTTCATGACTTATATCCTTCCTTCTTTACTCAAGTTTTGCACCCAATACTTCTAACTCTATACATTCTTCTGTGGCATTCAATTCTATGAATCAGAGAGAGAGAGAGACAGACAGACAGACAGACAGACACAGAGACATATTCAGGGATGAACAAAGATAGAGTGAAGTTCAAGAGAATAGTCTTATCCCATTGCTCCTTCTTGCCATAGTATTATATTTCTCAAACACTCTGAACAAGAATGGGGTAGGACTGTGACCAGCTCTCTACATAGCCATTGGGCCAGGAAAAGATAATAGCAGTACCTCAGTACTTGCGCTCTTAGTTGGGACTTTTTCAGTAGTTTAGAGTCAATTTTTGATTCCTCCAAAGTCTCAAGGATTCCCAATTCAGAGTCACAGAGATAAAAATCCCATCTTGAACTGAGTCAGCTGTTTTGTATTGAGATGGCTGAATTGAATTTAAAATAATGAATTATTTTCACATCCATTGATAATTGGAACACCTCCCTTAACTAATGAGATTTGGTTCAGTCAGATGAAGAGATAAGTCTAGAAGTACAAATTCTCAGATATTAGATCTGTGCCCTACCTCCTCTAACAAGTTTTTCATTAGTTAAACTCCAGCACAGAAGAATCTTTCTTTGATTTGCACTAGCCTATGGCTTTCATTATCTCAGTTACAATCAAAACCTCAGAGAACTACATATTCTTAGGACAACATCATAGAATCTAGAAAAACAAAGGCAACTTCACAAGTCTGAAGGACAGTGAAATTCCTTTCTCTATCCTTCTTTATTCCCTCATTAGTCCCCCACATTCAAAATATTATAGCTAAAATTGATTTGACATGTTATAAATGTTTCATTGAACTTAAAGGGAAAATATGACCTAGCAACAGTCAGATATTTAAATAATGTCATTGTATTCATTTTTCTACGACTGCTGTACAAACTAAGCCAAAACCTAGTACCTTAAAACAGCATAAATATGTTATCTTACAATTCTGGATATCAGAAGTCTGACACAGTTATTAATGAGATACAATCAAGATGTCAGTAGGGCTGCATTACTTCTGGAGGCTTTGGGGAAGAATCCATTTCCTTATCTTTTCCATTTTCTAGAAGCTTCCCACATTCCTTGGCTCTTGGCTCCTTTCCTTCATTTTCAAAATTACCAATGTAACATCCTCAAGTTTCTCTCTGACTCTGACCTCTCCTTATGTCTCCTCCTTCTACTTTTAAAATTTCTTTTGAGTAAATTGATTCCAGCTATGTAATTGAGGATAATTTCCTCATCTCAACACCAATTAATTATCAACTTTATTTTATCTATAACCTTAATTCCTCTTTACAATATGAAAGAAAGTACCCACACGTTTCGAGAATTTGGTTGTGAGCATCTTTGGGGGAACATTATTCTGCCTACTACAATCATACAGCAAATAAATAATAGACCCAAGATTGGATGCCCAGTACAAGGGATTCCTTCATCTTCTAGGAATGATGGATATGTACTCCAGGAGACTTAGTAGAAATACACTTTGAGAAAAAAGACAGCTGAGAATTGTCCAAAGGGTAATGTGAGGAAAAGGAGTAACTGACCCAAATCTCAATAATGAAGCATTTTGGTGAAGCTAGGAAGTTAAGGTAATACTTTTTTCTTTCTAAGGGAAGGTGAAAGCCTTCTGTCTTGGCCCCATATAAAACATGGAGCTCTAGCTCAAATGTACAAACTAATTGACTGTCAAATAGCAGGTCCAGAAGAACCTGTTTAAACTTATTTTCTCTGGCTATTCTCAAGACTTTCTCATGGACCTGGAGTTTAGTTTGTCTTGCTGACTAGCTAAGAAGGTTAGGAGAGGCTAGAAAAATGGAAAAGAATAAAACTTTGGCTAGTCTGGGCTGATTCTTACAGTTTCTGTTTCTCACCTTATTTTCAACCACATACCACTTGGTCGGTTTTGTTTTGTTTTGTTTTGCCTCCTAGGAAGGGGCTTGCCTATGTTTGCCATCATCCTCATCACTTCCTTGTGCTGTATGGTTGTCATCACCATGGCTTTTATCATACACTGCCGGAAGACATCTCAACAGAGTGAGTGACAAATATGGTTTATTGGCCTTTGCTTATTCATTATTTCTGGCAGTACATTTGGGCCTATATTCTGTGAACTCCCAAGCTAGTGTTGGAGTGAGGGTAGAGGTGGATAGAGACATATGTCTATGCCAACATGATATCAGACTTACTTAAATAGATACAAAACTCTTTGGTACCTAGCTAAGTACAACCATCCTTATGAGTCACCTAATGATACAACAGAAGTTTTCGTTAGGTTGCCTACAATTTATTTGGGAAATTCAAGATTGAAGCATGTAGCTTATAAACAACAATGCATAAGAATAAAGATCATGGACTCAAAATATGGAGAGGATAATCAATAGTAAAAGTTACTGAGGGCAAGAAAGCCAGTTAGGGCTGAAACAACTAGGAAGGGTTTTCGGGAAGTGAAACGTAGACAAGACCTTGAAAGATGAAAACTATGTAAAAAAGACAATATTCCAAGAATGGATAACTACATGAGTAAAAGTGTAAAGGCCTGAAAAGATAAATGGGTTTGAGATCATGAATGAAGAAGATTCAATTGGGAACTATGGGAGGGGGAGGAAGTTCATCTAATTACATAAGGTTTTGAATACCAGCTAAAGAATTTTGATTTTTTTCACCAAGACTTACAAAGGCACTAAAAGTAACCCAATTTTTTAAGCAGGCTAAGTGACACGATGAAAGCACAGGTGTTAGATCCATTTAGCAACCATGTGCCAACAGAGGAGAAGGAGAATTAGAATGTTTATTTCTAAGAAAACCTCGCTATAATTCAATGCCCACTGCAGTAGTCATTTTACCTACCATTAGCTTGTTTCTTTGTCTATAGCATCTCCTACTCACAAATATTTGTTTTCCACTGAGTCTTTCTAGGCTAAGGGAAGGAAGCTTCAAATACTTCTTTCTGTTGAGTCTTAAGTATAAGCTCTGGCTTTGACCAGTGAACATGGCTATGACCTGTAAGGATAAACAGTAAGTGACCATAAAACTCATGAGTACAAAAGGAAAGTATTTATCATAGTCTAGATATGGGCATAAACAGTAGCCATATTAGTTTGTTTCCTCTCAAAAATGGTCCATGGCTTTTTACGGCCCAGGAGATAAAAGTCAAAATGTAACATTCCACCAAAACACTCTGTAATGGGGCTCTAGCCCTCTTCTCAAACCTCATAACTCTCTTTTTCTTATTCTCATTTCTAATCACTAAAGTCAAAAGAGTAAATAAGCTTTACACATAACACCTTTATGCTTTTTTCCCACCTCATTTTATCTTACTAGAATTCTTATTTTCTATCTCTCTATAAGGAAGATAGTGCCATGGCATCATTTCAATTTATGCTGTAGTTACAGAGCACCTAATATTAGTGTGCCAAACTCTGGGCATATAACAGAAAAAAAGACAGAATTCCTGTAGTACTGGAGCTCTCAGGCCAATTGAAGATGCAACACATGAAAATGCAGAGCTCTTCTATAAGGCAGAACACCTGTGGCTTGTCTTGTTTATATTTTTGTGACTTAATGGATGCATTTCCAGTTGCTTTCCTAAAGATTATAAGTACCTAGAGTACAGTGCCACTGCCAAGCTAAGCCTTTGAGCCTGTGTGGACAATTTTCCTCCAAAGACACTAGAGGGCAATGGTGACCAGGACCTTTTTATTGGGTATGGGGTAGGCATGAGAATGCACTTGGGAATGGCTTGCATGGTGGTCCCTGACATCACACGAATTCGGCCCCTTCCTGGACTCCAGTCTGGTAGTCAAGTTTCTCACAAGGATTCTGAGGATCTTTGCTGAGATTCTTGGGTGGAGAATGGGTCCAGATCCAGTGCTCTCCTCCATTCCACACTAAACAACAACTCCAGCCTAACATCCCAAGACACATTAAAATGCTCCTCTCAGTGCCATTCTTTCATTTTTTGACTGGTATCTAGTGGCCATGTTTGGCCTTTGTTCACTTCTGTGGAAATTTCTGACCTTATTCCTCTTTCTTTTCTAGAACATGACTATGAAGTTAACAGGTAAGACAGCCTCTCCTTTTCTATTTTATGACCTCTTTCTTACTCTCAATTCTTTTGGTCATTGGCAGGAAACATAGAGGAAGGGATGTGGTATAAAGCTAGACTTAAGGCCAGACACCTCCTTCAGTATTAGGACACAGCTTTCTATACTTTCTGAGGCACCTTCTGAACTTCTGTCCTGGTCCACTGAATGCACAAGATAATTTAAGTGTATCACCCACCTGCTCCCCAAATTCGTGGGTGGCAGGAGCCTGAGTGTTAGTTGGCAAGAATTTGGAAGGATGGGGAGTAGGTGTCTAATCCTCTATTCTTTTCTTTTCTTTTTTCCTTTTTGATACCAGGGATCAAACTTGGGACTTTGTGCTTGCAAAGCAGGCTGTAGAACCACTGAGCTAATCCCCAGCCCTAATCCTCTATTCTTTTCTCATGGGTAGTAGGCTCTTGGGCCATTGGGTGCATGCTGGAGAAGGCAGTAACTCCGGAGAAACCATGAGAGTGACCATCTTCACAACTGGCTGCTCCAGCGACAATCAAGTTTCCCTAGCTGTGGGCAATGACTACTCTGATGAATCCTGAATGGACTGGAAATATGAGATCATCACCTAGATCAACATTAACTATTCCTGTTTGTTGCAAACAATACTCTCAAATAATAATCTTCTGGCCACTGAGAGCAAGAGTATCTGTTAAAATGTTTCACTAGGTCAAGTTGTGCTGACATAATTACCTAGTCAGTTCCTGCCTTTGGTATGGCCTCTTTTCTTGCTAATTCTCTTCCTGAATAGCCCAAAGTGTCTCTTCTGCCAATATTGGAGTCCCTGGAAGTGGCTGCCTTTGCCTAAGAATTTTCCATATTCACCTCAAGCAAGCCAGCTGTGGGATTTTGTCCTAAACCCTTCTAGTATCTCCACCTGGGATTTTTACTGTTCTTTTTCAAACACCAGAGAAATGTCCACAGAAGTAGGGCTTGGTCATCATACTTCTATACACCACCAGAAGAGTAGAGGAAGCTAAACTCTGCCACTTCAAGAGACCAACTATGCGCAGGATCATCTCTTTCTCCAGGGGCAACCACTTTTGAGATGTCATATCTCAAGCCATAATTTTGTTCTGCTCTGTATTGTGAATCAATTGCTCTAGTACTCTTTCAGTGCTCAATAAACTTCTCATCATGATAGCAATGTCAGTTGTCTTGGTCTTATCTCAAGGTATAGTAAAACATACTAAGTGTAATTAAAGTGAGACTAGTTAATATGGAAATATGGATCATACCTTTGCTTTTTCGGTCTTTCTCCTTCCCACCAATGCCATCCCTGTCTCACTCCACAGGTAGCTCCAGCTGGAGCACAATGAATTACTGATTAAACAGTATGCAACTGGTTTCCATTCCACTCTCCATCATTCTGTCAGATGATGCTCCCCAGGTCAACTGGAAGCCTGACAAGGACGAATCCCTGCTTATCTCAGGAGACTTTGGATACAAAGATGAAAGGATTCCTTCCTCTCCAAAATATGTATATACCAACACTAAGGGTTTCCAATTCTTTAAATCACCAGCGTCATTTCATTATTCACAGTTCATCTTCTCTAGCTTCTGACCCCTTCTTACAATGTGAAGTCTTTCTACTAATCAGGGTTAAGAGTCTGTGCTTGATGGTGTGTGTGTGTGTGTGTGTGTGTGATCAACTTCTCTATTAGTCCACTGCATCTTTATCCCATGTAATTTACATTAAATCAGTTTTCTTACTCATCATGGAAATTGCCATGTTGTCGTTTCTGGTTACAGTGCAGCCATGAGGTCAGGTCATGTCTGTCTAAGACCTGTCTCTTAGGGATGATTACAGAAGTTACATGGAAGAAAACAAGGAGGAGCCCTCCACTTCTCCATCCTTCAACTTGCCTAGTCTCTGGTCAAAACTAGCATTTTCCTCATCCCTAGATAGCAGCTTCCAACAGTTTGTGAAAGGAGAAAAGTTTTTCCTTCCCCATCATGCTTGCAAGCCTCTGAAATGGGAACCACACCCAGTGGAAACACCAGCTTCCTTCATGAAACAACTTTGTGTCTATACCCCATAGCCTTTGAAAACACCACTAACTTTTTCTACTATCCTTAGAAAAAGGAATTCCTGGGGTTGACGAGAGAATTTTGATTGCATTTCCACAAATGACATGAGTCATAAATTCAGGGACCCCCCCTTCCTACTCCCATCCATAAGAACCCTAGACCTCCACGGTAGCTCAGAGTCTTTCATCTTAAAGAGCTTAGAGAGTATAGCGTCTAATACTCCCACATGGCAGATTTAAAAAGTGAAACACAGAGAGAAAGAGTGACTTTTAACTCAAAGTAAAGTAGTAGCAAAAGGCTTCTGGATAGCTACACAAAAATAGGTTGTTAACATGGGATCCGTCTTATTAGATTATTATTTAGGGGAAAGCATAGACGTAAAAAAGAGAGGAGGAGGGAGTGGGAAGGGTAGGAGAAAGGAAATAAGGGAAAAGAAAAAATATGAGAAAAGTAAAACATGGAAACAAAGTCTTTGTAAATAGGGATGGGTGGAGTGGGTGAAAGGAGGGTTGGGGTATGGGAAAAAAATAAGAACCAAGATACATCATGTAAAGGTACAAGATCCCAATAATGAAAATAACTGTACTGTATACCTAAAAATTACCAATGAACTTAATGAAAAATAAATAAATAAAAATAAAAAGGGGAGGAGATCCCCAGAAGAGAGGGAAGCTAAGTTTCTCTAAGTTTTCCAATCCTAATGAGATAACTGACAATATGAAATAGGAAGAAAAGGGCTAAAGGTGTAGGGAAAGTGGGAAGGGTGGGGGAAAGGTAATAAGGGAAAGGAAAAAAAATAGGAGGAAATGTAAAAATGAAAATAAAATGTTTGTAAATGGGGAGGGGAGGAGGGGGTAAAGGGAGGGAAGGGACAAGGGGAAAAAATGAGAACCAAGACTTGTCATGTAGAGGTTACAAGATCCCAACAATGAATGTAACTGTACTGTCTACCTAAAATGTACCAATAAACTCAATGAGGAAAAAAATAAAAAAGAAAGTTTTCCAATTTTACTTCTATGAAATATTAGACCCAGGAAATAGTCATGGGGGAAAAATTCCTGTGGTCAGATGAGAGTGGGAAATGCTTCGTTCTATAGCTCTATGCTGGGGATTTCCAATGTAACATTAAAATATTAAAGGTTCTAAAATCCTGCGATAAAGTGCCTGTATAACTTTGCATGATCAATTCCAAAATTCATTTGCCCTCTGGGCCTATATTTTTATACTCCATCTTCACCCCTTTGCCTTACTTCTCAAGAAGAAAAAAAAAAAACCTTCCAAATTGGCTACTACCTCATACACCCCTTAGCTTTGTGGGATCCAAAGTTTGATGTTTTCAGTGTATGTCTGTAATACATAATAGTTATATTTGTTTGGGGGACTTGGTACATGAATACAACATGTCTTGATCATTTTTTATCCCTTTACCCCTACTTCCCTCACCTCTCCGTTGCAGTTTCATTGTTTCCACAAAATCCCGAGTGACATTTGGCCCAAAGACTCAAAGCTAGCAAATAAATGGAAAATAAATCAAGGCCAAAGCTAGTGAAATTAATCATTCAGTAAATTTTTATTGAATATTTTGTTAAATTATAATAATGGGCTTTGGTAAGGGAGACAGTAATCAAGTAAAAAATTTTATCTTCTAGCAGCTCACATGTAATTGCAAAATATCCCTGTAAAAATATCAATAGCAATGCAAAAGTTTGTATTGGTTGGTAGAAAATATAGTAGCACATACCAGGACCCAGGCAAAGAGTGTTTTGTGAATGAAGAAAGAAAAAGCATAGGTTAACTGTCAAAAGTCCCCAGAGAGACTAAACTTTGCTGAGACCAGGAAATATGGAGAAGGACTGGACATTCATGGCGAAATGGAGATGTTCTGAGAATTAGAAAAGGAAAGAGGAAAAGAGACAAGATGGGCAAGGGAAAGGTTTGTTTAGAAGGTAAACCAAGACCTGTCATGTAAAGGTGCAAGAGCCCAATGGTGAATGTAACTGTACTGTATACCTAAAATGTACCAATAAACTCAATGAGAACAAAAGAAGTTAAGAATGAGTTACAACAAAGTGGATTTCTGTGTCCTGCTCTGTCACAAAAGTGATGATTGTTTTGTGAGAATTACGGGGCCCTGACTGTGAGACTGGAAGGGGAATGTGAAGAAAGAAAAGAATTAAACAAAATTCAAGAGCATCTATGTCCCCATATCCTTATTCTTTTTCAAGATTACTATGTGCTTCTCAGCATTCTTACAATGTGTGTAGAAACAACCGAAGGTTGGAGTTCAGAGAACTGTCTCCCTCCCTCCCTCCAAAACCCTTCATGCAATGCCTTGGTTCCCTCAGAATGACAGAAGTATGACTTGGAAGAGTTTGATTTTGGGTGAGCATTCTCATATCCAGCCGGCCGTCTATTTCTTCTGTCCCATCTGCCCCAGATGGAGCTGCTAGGCATGTGCCGCACTTGGGGTATTTGACAAACTGACACTCTACCACATGGAGTGTCCAACTCAGCTTGTCAAATACACGGAGTGTGGCACTGCAGGTCATCGGGTTAAGGGCTTCTGTGGGATGGTGAGATTTTGCTGGAAGATGTGATCCTGGAGGGAAAGAAAGAGGAAGCAGTGGTGAAGCCACACTGTGAGCCTCAGACAACCTGAAGAGGTTGAAAGGAGCACCCAAAACACTGGAACAGTGAAGTAAACGATATAGGCATCAGGTCCCTAACCAGAAGAGGGATCCTAAGTACTCATCTTGGGGTTCTTTTAACTAATCTAAGTACTGTAGCTATAGCATTTCCAGGGATTCCAAGGCTTGGTGCAGCAGAGAGGGGATAATTTGGTCATCATTCTCCCTCCATAATTTGTAGAAAGGATCAGACTCCAGAGTCAGTGCCCTTGCCTTCACCTTCTTCACAATTATCCTAAACTGTGTTGTCACAGTGTTGTGGTTATAAACCATAGACTTTTAAGTTAAATATGGACTTGAATACTAGTTCCACCGTTAACTAGCTGGACAAGCTTAGGTGAATTATTTCGCCTCTGTGAGCTCTAGTTTTCCACAGCCACAAAATATGTATAAGGAGCTAGGTGTGGTGTTATAACTCCAGCAATCTGGAAGGTTGAAGCAGGAAGATCACAAGTTTCATCCCAGCCTAAACAACTCAGCAACTTAGTGAGACTCTGGCTCAAAATTTAAAGAGAGAAGTAGGCATATAGCTCAGGAAAAACTCACTGTATTCAATCCTAAGTGCCACAAAAATGTGTATAACGCTGACCTCATAAATTTTTTGTGAGATAAGACGTGCAAAGTCCTTAGTTTATTATTTTATATACCACAAATGTTTTAAAATGATGTCCGTGCCAGCAGAAATAAAACAAGAGCTATTGAAATTTGACATAACAGAATTGGGATTGAAGTGACAGCAATTTCTTATGGTCTCATCCCTTTCTAACATAATGTTCTTAGCCCATAAGGATTCAGGAATGGAAGCAATACAAGTGGCCTTAGAGATCATCTAGTCTCACTCATTCAAAGCTTTAAACAAGGAACTGAAGGTATCTTATTGGGGAAAATCTAGCAAAGCCACATAGTATATTGTTTACAGTTAGGAGGTAAGCCTTATGTCATCCCATTGTGCCCGCTAGCTTTCCTCACTTTGGTCCTTTTGCCTCCCTGCTTTGTACATCTCTCAGGGAAGCTGCAATAAAGAGTTGCTGCAATAAAGAAAAAAACAGGCAGTGTAGTTTGCATAGTGCCACTAGGATCCTTCAACCCATAACCACCAGGTAATAAAGAAGCTGCCAGGACCAGGGTCAGGTCTGGAACCTCTTCCAAAGTTAACAATACCCAGATCCTATCACTTAAAATGCTAGGATATGAGTATAAAATCTATGTCTTTCCTAGTTTGGGCAGTTAATTGATAAGAAATAGTTGCTCTATGTCAAACAGTGGCATGAAAAAACAGAAATATTCCAAGATTACTGGGAATATAAAACTTTCCTGTGAGGCTTTTCAGCAAGAAATAATAATCAGTGTTTTGTCCTCAATTCTGTTAGTTAAATACAAAAGGGTGACATTTCTCTCCAATGTGATATCTGGCAGTGACCTCAAAGTTAAGGATCTAAACTGTCTTTCCCAACCCCTCACTTCTCTATCTACCTAATCTACCTTAATCCATTCAGAAGTGTGATTCTCTGACAAAGCAGCAGCTATGGTCACTATATATAGAAACATGGAAAGAATCAGACAAATTTGTTCTAATGTACTCTTGCCCACTAACTAGCCAGTTATGGCTTGGGTAAGCTTTTCTTTGAATTTCAGTTTTCTCTAGAAATGAGGAAAAGATGACTTACCTGGTAGGGTTGTTGGAAGTTGTTGAGCTTCCCAGACCCTCTTACATAGGAGTTCAAGGAGACTTTGGTTCAACCCCTGAAGCTGTGGATGGAAGCTAGCCAAGGAAGCTGATTAATGAGTTTGAGTTGCAGTGGCAGGGGAAAGAGGAACAGACTGGTAGCTTCTGTCACCATTGCCTTCCTAGTCTACTAGCTTCAGAATGAAGGCCTACTTATCCTGGTGTTATTTGCTGATGTTATTTACTTCAAGAAGACTGGAAACTTTATATACCATGTTGCCCCAGTATTTATGGAAAGATTCAGAGGCTGAGCTATAAGTAGATTGCTTCCACTTTCACTTTTCCAGAAAAAGAAGATTCACCTGAAGAAGGTTGGCCAGTCTCATAAAAGAAGAGATGAGTACCTACATGAGTTGGCATTGAGGAACTCTTAAAGCTCTTCTGTTGGTCCATCGAAGTATAAGAAATGCCATGTTTGTCATCTGTAATATAAATCCTCCATTGGAGAGCTCCATAAAGCCACTAGTATTGAGTGAGGCAAAGGATAGGCCAGTTTTAAAAGAAGGAATTGGAGAGGATAGGCTTGGAGATGGAGGTGTAAGTAAACCTTTGAGAAATCTCTGAACACCCAGAATAAATAAACTATATGAAAAGTGAATGGAGAAAGAACTAATCAGGACCATGACTAAATTATACAGATTGGACCCAGCTTAAGGAAGATAAACTGGGACAATTTCAGGGAAAGTCCTGCCTCTTGGTATTTCATTTCTCCTAGGACAGAAGAGAAAGAGCACTCGGCTGGGACTCCAGAGTCAGCTCTGTCACAGTTTCCTTGAGTGATCTTAGGAAAATTCCTTCCTCTTTCTGGACCTCAATATCTCCCATTTGTAGGTGTTTTCTGAAGGTCCATTTAATTATGGAATGTTAGCAGTCAAGTGTAAGACTAGAAAAAAAAACAGCCTTTCACCTTTGAATCATACCTCTCAGAGAGAATGCTATATATAGATATCACTACCAGCTTTCCTTCCGCATGTGTTTAGCCCTGCCTAGACACACACACACACACACACACACACACACACACACACACACACACATATTTAAGTTTCACTCTAATCTCCTTTTTCAATGGGTAGATGATAATTATTAAATAAAGAATATAAAAACTAAGTCTTTAAACAGCCTCCAGCTAATTCTTCTCGTCCTCTTCTTTAAAAAATACTCAGACACTGAATCTTTCTCTTCCTATTCTTTGCAGAAAAGAATCAAACACTGAGTCCTAGAATGGAGACAGTTCTAAAGATAAACATTGGATAAGTGACAAAACCAGGATTGCTACTCAAATTTCTTGACTCCTGAGTCTAAATAAAATTTTATTGTCTTCTAAATAAAGGAGGTTTCCATTAGAAAAGAATACTAGCCCCCTTTTCCAAAGATTTCAATATGGAAAGCCAGTAGGAAACTTCATTTTTCTCATCCTTGAACCTGAATCTTTGATGAGCATCTGAGAAGAACGGAATGAGCCAATCCAATCCACCCTTGGTTACTATAGACACTGCCCCAGTTCAGGAATCCAAGAAGAGACTAAATGGTACTATACCTGCCACTGGAGTGGTGTCTTGTTCTTGGAGAGGACACAGGTTCTCTGGTGCTGAGTCAAACTGTAGAGGGCAGAGAGAACTGAGCTTTATGTTGTGAGCAGGAAGGTCATGTGTCTTGTAGGACCCTCTGTGTCTTAAAGAGGAAGCAGAAATGAGGAAGATAAGGCTGAGGTTAGCCAACGGAAATCTGGATACAAAATGACAAAACAGGGCTGTTGTGAAAGGGTCTGCTACTGCAGCAATAGTTCCCACTACTGTGTCTCCACCCACTTTCAGCCAACCTCCAACAGACACTGGCATCCCATGCTGCAGAGAGGGAGAACAGAAAGCACAGGCTATCCCAGTTCTACCTCGGAGCAGGGAAGTTTCCTTTGAGTAACTGAGGGGATCCTGGAATGTCAGAGCTGTGCCACTAACAAAAATTCCTCTTGTCATAATTGACAAATTAAGCCAATGAAGGATTAAAGAAATAGCCAATATCTCAAAACAAGGTAGTGGCAAAGCTGGAAAATGATCCCATTTCTGTCAACTCTAAATCATATGTTTTCTCATTTTGTCAGCATGACTTATGGGTGTGGAATATTCCTTTTACCTCTAACTTCTCTTCTGGTGCACAGAACCAGCTACAAAATTTTCAAGGCCCAGTACTAAATTAAAGTGACAGGCCCATTAAAAATAACAACAACAAAAAAAAAAGAATTTCAAGATGGTGACAGCAGAGCATTAAAGCAAGTGTAGTGCCCTTCCAAGCACAGGGCTCTGTGAAACTGCACAGGTCACATGATGATAAAACTAGCTGTACTAGCACTGCTATATCACAGTCTGACATCCGAGGGATTTATAGAAAGATAGAAGGAAATTCACATTTATTAGATTGATTTATGTACATAATCTCATTTACTCAATAGTCCTCTGGTGTGGTATTATAATTATCTTTATATATATGGATGAGGGCACTGGAGCACCTGGAAAAAAGGTCAGTTATCTAAGCAAATAAATCTAGAAAATAATGGCAAGGGCAGAATTCAAATTCAGTTCAGATTCCAAATGCTAGGCTTTTTCTATTTTCCCACATTTGCTGCAAATAAGGGACGATTGTATCAGACCTCTAAATTCAGTTCTAACCTTCAGGGTAAGAGTATCAGACATAAATATAAAGAGAAAGTAAGTGGTTTCCTACAGCCTCATGTTTTCAACCCCTAGAAAGTGCCTGTTTACCGCCAGAAAGAAAATGCTTCCATGATGCAGTCCCTCATGAATTCCACTGATACAGAGAATGAGAAGGGCAATTCTTGAGGTGCTTTCAAAATATCCTTGGGCTAGCCTTAAATGATTGCAGTGCCAGGGTATAGTCCTCAGCCTACAGAAGTGGAAGTGGGGCTCTAGACAGTATTCAAGTCTAATAAATAATATGTCCACACCACATATAGACTTATATATTCAGGCTCAACAGAAAAGAGTACATCCTTGGAGCCAGAAGTTCTGGGTCCTAATACCAGCTCTGTTTCAGTTCATGAGCCTTGTTTTCCCAATTAGCTAATAGAGGTTGGACTAGATAGTCTTGGTTGCCTCTCTAACACAAATATTCCCAGGTTTCTTTATGACTCCATTCAAACTTGCGCCTTCCTCTATACTCACTTTGGGCTGCCTTATGGTGGCAGGGCACAAGGCTCTGTCTGGAGATAGCCTGGGAAAAGAACTCACACTACTAATTTATTAGTTTAGGCCATGAGACCAGTTTCCCCAGATCGGGCTTTCAGAAAGATTTAGTTCCTGTTTATTTTTGGTTTCTGACTAAAGCTTGAGGCAGAGCAAGATGGTCCTGTGGGCACTTTGCCAGGACACCCCCTTCCTCAACTCACACCATAGAGATTGAGTTCAGCCACCCACTCATTTTTTTCTGCTCTATCAGTTAAGGTACTACATTGACTTCTTAACAAGGAAGGAATATCTGCAGACAATGCTTTCACGTAGGGGACTAATTGGTGGTGTCCATTTTGAGTTTCACAGCATTCAGGCCGCAGAATGAATATTAGGAGCTAGAAGGTCAATGAATTATACCACCCATGCAGAGGGCCTGAATTAGAACAAAGGACACTGCGTTTCTTGGAGTTCCTCTTTACCCCCCCAAACAAAACTCATGATAGAAAGGGCTAACTTTGTAACACAAGTAAAGAAGGACCTCTTTTTATTATTTTTTTGTTTTATTTTATTTATTTATGTATTTCTTATTTATTTATTTATTTTTGGTACCGGCGATAGTACTCAGGCCCTTGATCTTGCAAAGCAGGTGGAACCACTGAGATAAATACCTGGCCCAAAGAACCTCTTCTTAAAAGTTGGTTGTGCAGGGCCGGGGATTTGGCTCGGTGGCACCGTGCCTGCCTTACAAGTGCAAGATCCTGAGTTCGATCCCCAGTACAAAAAAAGTAGTTGTTTGTGTAAACCATTGCTGAGAACAACCAAAATTAAAAGAAGCCTCCCACTTTGGATGCATTCTTCCATCACTATTCTTATGGAGGGTGATGAGAGACAAGGGAAGAGAGTTGACAGGGAGTAGGCAGGCAGTGCTGGGGACCCACGTGGACACATTCATTTAAACACTCAATGCTGGAGTACAGAGAACATTGAGAAAAAGTCTCTGTGTCTTAGACTATAGATTATAGCTCCTGGGTTATAGACTCAGCTCTGTAACTCATTAACCTTGAATGATCCTACACAACCTCGGTCACCATGTCAGATAGAGGGATTTATCAGGCTAGGGAGGAAGGGTGACAGACATAAAATCAGAGAACTAGTCATTCTACAGAAAGTGACAAATGGTTTCAAAAACATAAAAAGTACCATGGAGGAATAGATAAGAGAGATACAATTGTTTCAGAGTGACAGACAAGGAGGTGATAGAAAGTAGAAATTAGTCTTAAAAGTAAGACTTTAGCTCAGTCTTAAAGAACATAGAGAAAAATAATGATATTCTTTATTTTTGAAAGCTTTCTCTAACCACCTCAGCAAAAATAGTTGTTCCCTATCTTACCATCCTCTAGCCTAAAAAAAAAAAAAAAAAAAGAACTGCTGCACTGAGCTTATTAATATCTGTCTGTATCTGTCTGCCCCAGGAGACAAAGAACTTTCCAAAGTACGGACTGTTTCTGATCCCTTACTGTCATTCTAATGCAAGGAATAAACTAGTTTTTCCAGAACTGTGAATGAATAAATGAAAGATACATAAAGGAAGGAGACCTTATGGCCTAAACTTCCCACATTCCTTGGCTTATCTTGCTTCCATGAAGAAATTTAGAAGACCTCCTTTTATTTTTAGTTCATTTCTCTCCTCAGTCACCCTCACCTCTTTCAGAAACCTTTCAAAGAGGCCCCAGGGACAATTGCAAAGCCATGGCCATTTCCTGTGCAAGAACTCAGTGTGAACACACTACATCTCCTCTCTGGTGATTGCTCTGCATAGGATTACACAGTGGCTTCCTGAGGCGAAATGCAAAGCCTGATGTAATGTGTAGAATTTCTCAGTTCAGGATTAAAGAACTTTTTGTGCACCTGTGTCTGGGAACAAGTTTTATTGTACAGCTCCCCACAAAGCCAGTGATATTGTAAAGATAAGAGATAGCAATTAATCCAGTAATTACAGATCAGCTTTACTCAACAAGGGTACATTGAACAGCAGTAGATACCGGCTACAAATCTTATGTTGGCTCTAATGGGGAAAATAGATGTAAAACAGAATAGAAATATATAACAACTTAATAAAAAATAGAATATGAATTACAAATATTCTAATAGCTACATTAAAATTTTAACAAGACAGGAAGTTTGCAAGGGCAAGATGTACACAACATAGTTAAAATGTTATATTAATATGTAATGGGTTCATTATTGCTATTTTCAAAAGGATCACTAAATAAATATTTTAAATGTCTCCATTTTAATTTCTAAGAGAAATAAATATGTGAAACTAATTTCAATAATATATTTTATTGATTCCCATGCATCCAAAGATTCTATTTCAACTTATAAACAATATGTATATTAATAAGATATTTACAATACATCTCGATATAGACTAGCTATATTTCTAGCGTTCAATTGCTATATGTGGTTTATGGCTACCATATTAGCCGGAACGGGTAGAAGATGTGGCCCCCTACCTACCCTCAAGGAATTCACAACCCTATCCAAGAGCCAGACTGCTACATAAATACATAAAAGTAAAACAGTGAGTAAAATAGTGCAGGTGCATGCATGAAAAAGAGCACTGCACCAGTCATCAGAATACCTGAACATAGATTTTTCTTTGACTTTTATGCTCTATGTAACCTCGAGCAAATCCCTCAACCTCTCTTGTCCTCCATATTTCCATCTCTAAATCGAGTCTGTACTAGATTCTTTTATTGAATAAATTATTTATTGAATGTTACTCTAAGTGTCAGACATGTTGTGAATCACTCACTATAGAGAAGTAAACAAGATAAGTAAATGCTTACCTTCTTGGCATTCATAGTGTGGTAGAAAATAGATACTGAAGAAATACAAGTTAGAATAACAAGAAAGTGAGAATTCCAATGAATTAGGAAAACACATAACAAAGGAAACTATTCCACCAGGTTTAGTTTTAGGAAAAAATTTAGAAGAAGTACATTTTAAACTTTTAAAATTTGATTTTAGTTTATTAGTACATGAGTGTAGTACACAGTGTTTACATTCTTTATGAAAAGTTGGTACATGTACATAGCGCCTTTTAAATTTATTGTTCACCCCCGTTCCCTTCCCGTCCTCCCTCCTCCACACATCTCGATCCCTTTCTTTTTCCATATGTTTATAGTACATAATGTTTACATTCTTTGCATTGCATTGGTACATGTACACAATACAACCCAATTCCTTGTTTTCATACCTTATTGTTTCACTTCCTCCCCACTCCATCTCTTGATCCCCTTCACCTTTGAGATTTGTTCTCTACACTCAGAGGAAGTTAACTTTTTTTTAACAAGACATTTTAATTATCTAAAAAGTATCTCACATTCAGTATAATTTTGAACAGTTTCTTCCTATTTCACAATATCTATT